GCTACATCTTGATCTAACCACCCTGAGCTTCCTTCCAACCTAATCCAACTTCTCCTAGTACTTTATGTCAAGGTAGGCGGTGGCTAGGCTTGCCTAATACATTTCCAAGCCACCTTAGTCGCTTGAAGTTCACAACCTCATCGACTGACTTGCTTTTCTTGTCTAGTACCCTTCACCTGACCTACAATTGCTGACATGGGGACTCCGTCATACATGGGCAATGCTATAAAGATACCTATAGTTGAAAATTGGTAGTCTCTCAATAAATTTTACTGATAACGACCAAGTGTCACAGATGCATAACGGGACAGAACATACCGCAACGCGCAGTATACTCATTCTTTAATAGGTAATCAGATATCTCGCTGGTTGGCGCCACAGATGAGGCAAATCGGTAAATGGTAAACAGGCTTCTGTGTCTAAGCTGAGATTCTCTTGGCAACCAGCCTATTTAGGATGATGCAAACTTTAAATAGGTAAGTAAGTAGGTTCTCTATCAATTCTGAACTTTAATCGACTGCTGGCTTTCTGTATTCACTGTGCCATTGATGAGTTTACACAGAAATTTATTTATCAGTCATTTGACGGTGGTTTTTATTTCCTCAGAGAATTTGTACTGTCTAGCAAGTGTATCAGAATGTGTCTTGCTCAAGTTATAAGGATTTGTTTAGCGTTTTAAAATTGCACTCAGATGTAAGCACTAATATAAAACTGGTCAGGTTTTTGTTTTTGTTTAACTACGGTTATTAGTTTTTATTTTTCATAAAAACTTGTAAATTCACCGTCTTTGATTCCAGTTTTTGTCCATTTATTGCCTTGTCATGAATCCTAGTTTTTTATTGGATATTTTTATTGATTTTAAGATATCTTATAGACGTATATACGACTGTGTTGCTTTCTTTCCTTGTCTTTGGTTGAAGAAATAAGGCTCTTCAGAAACGATTTTATTTTGTCGCTGTATCCTTTGGTTTTGATGGTGTTCACTTCAAGATCAACATATGGAACATTTTTAGTTGGTGTACGTACTCATGAATAGTTATCTTTGTATCATCGGGCTAGACTATTTACCATATATATTCATAATACTACTAATAACTAATATAAGTAGTTATAGACTACTCATCCCAATCAAGTGGTGATAACTACCCAGATCAAGGTGAATTAAAAACTGAATGACTGTTTGGCTCGTTTGTGACTGAGGTCATCACCTGTTTGCCAAGTTCAATTCATTTCAGAGAGTAGAATCTTTCAAACCTTTCAAGATTTCACCAATTACTTGATTAAAACTAGTTGAAAATTCAATCCAATTAATTATTTACAAACTACACAGTCAGTGGCATACATCTTTCACCCTGACAATTCTGACGCCATTTGTAATGTCAAATAGATGGTTAATCGAATTGTGAATATTTTAGTTGATAAACACAGATGAAACTCAACGATCGGGTTCCAGTTAATCTTGCCATTCTCAATTTACATCATATATTGCGCAAACATGTGGTTTCACTTTATAAACAACAATACTTTTTTTCTTAGTGCACGTGAACATCGATTTTGTTAACTGTACAACACTTATATCTGCTTTTACACATACTTGAGATAACTATACTCTAAAACACTGGCTCCTGTGTATTACTTAGGAGACTATGTAGCATTTTTTATCGTATTTACGAGTAAAAATATTCAGTGAAACCTTTTTTCAGTTAATGATTTGTAAGGGTTGATCAAATTCACAGAAGATTTCACCAGGAATTCATATCAGTTAAAGAACTGTTGGAATTTAAGGAGCATTGGGTTGATGTTTCATTCTGATTGAGGAGTTTTTCACGACCCTATGAGGAATCGAGCTCATGACCATCCGATCCCATGGACAGAACCATACCAGACTATGGCCAAACAATTATTCAGAAGTCCTGGACTTTTAGAGGTTTCCTAATTGATGCTAATACTTTATGAAAACTACCCTGGGAACCTTTTTCACAAGTTTGATGTTCAGCAAAGGCTATCAGAAAATGTCTTGTTTGGTATACTGACATCGATATTCATGGATGAATTTTTAATCTGGCTGCATTTGAATTCCAATGAACAGTCTCTTAGCTGAGCATCTAACATAATAACGAGTAGGTGAATTCATATCACACACTCAGACAAGGGCTACAAAGACACTTGGTGACGGAAATGATATTCAGACATAGTCAAAGACAGGCTGATTGTTTTAGCTCACTTGACCAACTGTGGCGTCACTGCAATGATTCGGATCCTTCCACGACCTACGTTTTCTGACAATATGAGCCACCACCTGTCAACATGTAAGCAGTCACCAAGGATCATGAATCCATATAATATCTTGTTCACTTAGAAAGTATTTAGCTATAGAGATCCTTGTGACTGACATGATGCCGAAGTGCTTAGTTTCCCATAATTGTAGGCAGGAACATTACTAAGCTATCATGGGAAGAAAACTAACTAACTATAAGGCATTTTACACTACTTATTGACATTGACTAAAGAACGGTTAAGATCCACCTGCACTCCACACCTTTTAAATACTAGTTCAGAACTTCAAACAGTGCGCTCCGGAAACCAGTCATGGGACAGGGTTTAGAACTTTGGGGTTTGTGACAACCACATTGCCACTGAGAAGCGGGGTAGAATTTAATCATATACATTTTTAGCTTCTGTCATATTAATTGTGATGGGTCATTGAATAATGATACTCCAGCACCAATACAAAGATTCGAGTGACTTTCGTTAACTGGCACATTCTATGGCGCAGTCACGATACCTGGATGTTGTCTTTGGTCAGATTGTACTACCGAGCAGTGGACACTATAATATAGTTATGGGATGTGAGAATTAAAGACATTAAGTTTATTATGAATTTCCGTGTTTCACTCTAGCTATCGTCATAGCATCACTCGAGAGTGCTGGGAGTGAGAGTAAAGAATGCAAATCTACTAACTGGATTCTGAATCTTATTTAACCTTGGTATTTAGAACATATAGTACTCACCGTAACCTACCATTCGGTCATCTAGAAGAGAATTAGGCTGAAAAGAGGCTGTTAGTAGTCAGACCAGCGATTGGCTCCAATCTATAGTGCCTCAGGTTCTCTGTCTGATATAGTGTAGGCTTCCTAGTTGAGATTCAGGAGACATTGGAGACAGACAACCAGAGTCCTTAAGATAACATTGTTCAAAATTGATGGCGGCAGCGCAGATTCATCCTTATCTTATCCTAATTGAAGTAAGAATATCGTACACCTCCTCTTCTGATGCGTTTATGGACATTTTAAGACCACTGATACGACTGATGTTTATATTTTCTCGTTTTCCCTGTAGCTAGCCTTCACTTCTATCTGATCATGTAAAGCGTGATAGCTTACTACAACAACGCAGTAATGTGACGTTCTATTGTACCTTTGTTTGTTTATATAGCTGAAATCAAGTGAATTAACTACTGACTAACAAACATCTAACCTAAACGAAGTCTTTTGCCTGGATTGTGCACTTTAACCCCAAATGTAGGCATTCTTCCAAATTACCTTCTCACTGGATGGATTCTACACTTAGAGTTTGTGTTCGCTGGGATTCAACAGTGAGAAATATCTGTTACACTGAGGAAAATCATGTTCTGTTTGAAATCTAAACCTGCATCTAGGTTATTCAGACCAAGAAGAACCCTCTTTTGAAGTGGTGTATGCACATTGATTGCTCTCACAGGTTGTCAAGACTTTAGCGTTCGAGTGTTCTGAGGCAAAAACGTGATAAAGTAAACATCCATTTATGACAAGGAATACGTGGCTTGATCCATGTAAATTTATCAAGTTATTTAAAAGTTTTTTAGATTGGTATATGAATGGTATGTCAAAATGAAATGTTTCTTATTTAGTTCAGTCTCACACGTATGAATGGCGTTAGAGATACTGGTTAAAAATCGATCACATAGATGAGGATAAATGTCCGCGAGTAGGGCGACTTTTAAGGCCACCCTAGAAACGACTGGAACAACCAGTTAGGTTTCTTCATTACGGTTGGGGGGGGGCCTTTAACCACTCCTGTGGGTAACTTCACAGGCCGCCCTAGCAGCTGCTGAAATGACCAATTAGGCTCCGGTGTTTCGCTAGGAAAAGCGCTTTTTACATAAAATAGAGGAATGTAATTAGCTGTCTCATAAGCTGCTAGTGCTCTAGCAACCCTAAATAATCATTTCCTTTCACTTGGGAAAATAAAAAGAGGCCAGGTAACTGCAAAAGAACACACTTGATCAAAGCCTATTCACTCACCAACTGCATGAATGACTCACTTCAGATTCACTATCTTGTCTGACCGTTCTGTTATCCATCAAGTGAAGATATTGGTGGAACAACTTGGTGATATTAACTTGCAATGAAAACAGGGGAGAGTTTAAAGGCCAGCCTAGCAACGATCGGAACAACTAATTAGGTTCCTTCAATCTCGGCTGGAAAGGCAGATTTTCATATAATAAAGAATTCTGATTGGTTATTACGGAAGTAGCTATGGTGGCCTTTAAAGTCACCCGAAAACAGCTTTTGTTTAAAGCATTTCTGTTACACAGATATACCAGCTTAAAGGCGGTCAACAAGTTTCACTCTTGATAGACCTTATCACCTATATAGGCGTCATACTATACATTGTCATGACCAAAATGTCTATTGATTGATACGTAGGTTCAACCAACACTGATGAATCCAGTCAGTAACCAATGGAGAGAAATACTTGGTAGGACATTTCAAGGAAATAATTGTTATAGATAAGTTAACAACCAGTTGCAGGTCGATACATCAGTCAGTAAGTCACACCTATTGTATGTGGGGGCTAGTGATACTACCTACCTACCTACCTATCTAAATCTCAATATAGATGGAGCGGGGTTCGAACCCACAGCCCACTTATTGACAGTCAGAATTGACTAGATCCTTTATTCATGGGGGAAATATCAATAATACCCAGGTAAAGACATGCTTCTTCATAAACTTACAAACATAATTATCTGGCCATATTTTGCCACTGTTATTATTACTATTATTGATCTTATTGTTATCCATCTTTGTAAATTCAGAATGATTATAACTGGATGAAGTTTGAGAGCAATCAAAAAGCATTGATCTATTCGAAGAATAATCATAGGGTAGGAGTTCTTCAACAGTGGTACTGTCATTATTATGAATATCACTGTGAGCAGTATTACTGGTAGTAGTAAAAATGCTACTAGTATTCGCCGCATTGACGTTGATGTTACTGTTACTATTAATGTTATTACGAAGGCTGAGATTAGTGTATGCAGTTGTACTGAAGTTACTGGTATGACATTCATTCAAAGATGTGGTATGCGAAGGTGAAGAAAGAGGTAGATGCTTTGGAGTATTCAGTGAACGATCCTCTGTTAATCCTTTGTCTTCAGTTATCGATCGAACGAAATCAATATTATTATTATGATGATTATGATTACCTTCAGCTAATGAATGACATGCAGTTACGGCATATGGCTGAAATAAAGTAATAAAAGAAATAATGAGGTATTATATAGATAAATAAGTCAAATGGGTTTCACGAGGAATCTGTTAGAGATTACAAGTTCTAGAGCACACGTAGAAGATGGATTCAATGGTACACATCAACTCACATAGTGAAACAGACGTTATTTTTGTGACAGACACCTTATCTCCTATTAGCTTGTAGAAAACATGTTACAACTAAGCAAAATATTGCACTGTCATATCCGCTAGGAGAATCGACCTTTCCATCACATCTTCAGTCAATCGTATTCAGGCACAGTAGTAATGAGGTAACATCCCCTATACAAAATCCCAACCTGACTAATCGTAGTAAAAAATTGGAGTTTTTATTAGTTTTCTGTCATTAATCAGTCCTTAGATTCAGATACCTCATGCAAAGGTTGTATGCAACTGATGAAAATCAGTGAAGTGAAATGAACAAGTTATATCTTTTAAATGGTGTTCTGGTTACATGTTGTTCAAAGCAAATGTAGAGGTGTTTGCTAATGATTTACAAACCGCACAGTTCACCTTGATATTTCTCACAGCTAATTAGTTTTTTAACTGCCCAAATGTGGCACCGTTCAACAGCGTTCCCGATGAAAACCAAACCACAGCCAAGATTATAATGTGTGATCCCTGACACAAAAGTATCTCTAAATACACTACTGAACAACTTGAGTAGTTGGAAATCATTCACACTGATATGTGGATTTCCTCAGCCAGATCAAAATGATCTAAAAACCGGACCGGCATTTCATTCAGTAACATATTTTGCTGGTTCACGATACTTTTGAAAATCGGTCATTCTATTTTAGGTCTGCTGGTGCATACAAGTCAGTAAGTCAGATTCGGGTCACCTGAACCGATTTTACCCTACGCGGTGGATTCGTTCAGGTATACCACTGATGATCTAGGTCTTAAACAAGCTAAACGGCTGTTCAGTGCCTAGATTACTCCGATCTGACTGTCAAAATCTACAGATCAGCCTGATTGGTTCCTCACTACTAGCATATTTCGCTAAATGTAGACGAGTTTGAGGAATCCTGTTACGGCTATGCTGCACTGTTGCTTGTACTCTAGGAACCCTTAAGTAATAAACTAACTCCATTCACCTATTTGTTTACATGAAGTGATATTGACTGGTACAATACTGAAAGCTAGAGAGTATTAAGTTGTCCTTCTCTAGAACTTTTGATCGATACTCATTCCTGACTTTACAAGAGATTGTATTCGCAATCTTTAGTTCTCTTAGTGGAGTAGGTGGTTATTGAGCTATCGCGATGAAGTAGAATGTTTGACCAGTTCAACCTGTGAATATCAGTCAATACCACTGATGACTATTTAAATGTTATATCAGATGAAAACTGTTTCCTCCCACCCCCAGTTTCCAATAAATCTTCCATTTGTATAATAATCTGCAAAACACTCATCATTCTATTTGCTGTGCATCAATGAATATTTTGATTTCTACCTGAAATTTGACTATAATATCGACCGATTTGCCGCAGAATATCCCCTAACCTAAATGATGCGTTATTCAGCAATTTACTTCATATTAGACAGTAGATATAAAGAGACTGGTTGTTACATTTTTAATTGTAATGATAACAAATTACATCACCAACTATAGACGAAGTATGAATCTTCTCTTGTCATATTCCATACTTGGGTATTGTCGGATAGTAATAAGAGTATACAAGATTAGAATTATGCTTCTTGTTCAATAGAGTCACTTTCATAAGGCTCGAAAAGTTACCGACGCTGTTTCTATTTCATAGGGTAACTGGTTCCAAGGATTGTGAACACACTTTCAAGACCTAAAATCATTCATACACATATTTCTCTTCATACAACTGAACATCTTTAAACTTAATCAAGATACGAAAACCAGTGAATATAGATTGATAGAAGATGACTGAAAGTTTGCCTACTTCAAAATCACTCTTTTTCTGATCCACTTGTTCTTTGTATACTATTGTCGAGTGTGACAACTTGAACCGATTCATTTGTGTACAAGGGTCTCCATTGATTTTGTCTATCTGACTGAGTTTATAGTTGACTCTGATTTCTCTTCAGTGAATGTGAAAACCTCAGTTCAAAAACTGCGTCGAATAAGGACATTATGGGGTTTCGAACGAAAACTTCTTTTACGACAAGATTTGAAATAAACTGTCTTCAGTCTATCAAACAACAGCTTTCTCATTTAATCTAATCAATAATCAGTTACTTCATCCTAGGTAGTTGAGTATTACTATCACTATTGTTATTATCACCATTATTAGTAGTATTACTTGTAGAAAGAATATATGTGACTCAGTGCTTAAGCACATAGATAAAACAAAATACCTAGTCACAACATAAACTGATTTCATGAGTTTGGTGAAAGAAATCGAAAGTTTAACTGGACTGGACTCGAGCTAAAGGTCTATGTGCCGTCTGCTGCAGTAGTTTAGGGGCTTTCTAACTTTATTTCAAACATCTGGTTTTTGAATCCATTTGCATTCTATCCCACTAGTTTTACATCTAGTTCTACTCATTCAAACCAGACATCAGGTGTAATCATACGGAATTTATGACTCAGTTGAGACCTGAAAATTCTGGGTTTAATCCCTAGCCGCGTTAAGGGTGGGCAGTATTGAGGAGTTCCATACTGCCCAGAAACAGCTGTTTAGTGTAATCAAGTTTCTATGTGTTCTACAACTGATGTCAATCCTTGATGAATACTGACTTAAAACGGAAAAAACCCCAAAATCTTTCCAACTTAATCTGATGTTAATTTACCTACTTCCACCAACCTTAACTGGTAAACCGTTTTATCGCCACTGTATGAACATCGTAAATGAATCTGAAAAGGCAAAATTTGATCGAAGTTGGTTAGCCATTAACCAACTACATCAATGGGGCATTTCTTTCAGCAATTTATTCAAGTAATCTCAGGTTACATCTACACGCAAGTATATTGTAACATCACATAAACGGATCTATCTATTTTGCTTGTCTGCTGAATATGCTTTTGAAAATATTCTCCAACTAAAATTTACAATCACTACAATATCTAGTCAATTTGCGACACGATAAGGACATGGAAAGTTTTTTGGGTCCATTCTATTTCACATCGGTTAGCTGAAAAAAAAACTTACACTAATGTCATCTGTAAAATCTTCTTTTGGGCACCTTTTGAAATCTAAGATGTTGTTTCTTGGCATAGTTAAATCACAATGTTTATCTATGTAGTTATTACTGTTAGTGTTGCTGCTGTTGCTGACAGCTAGACCACGCCGAGATCTCATTGGAAGTGGAGGTGGTTTCTCCGTCTCATTTTGTATTGTTCCTACTGTTGTATCGAAATCATTCTGCAGTTTCTTTAAAAAATCTATATTTCCCAATGAAGTTGATGATAACTCTTTCAATCTTTCACTACTTGACTGTTGTTGTTGTCGTTGCCATAACCAAAAGAGATTATTTATATCAGGTTTACTGTTACCATCTATAAATGGTGGTGTTGAGGTTATTGAACACGAAGAACAATAATTATTATAATCAGCAGTTAACTTTTCAATCCATAATTGATGTTCAACACTGGAAAGTGTTTTTCGTCGATTAAATGTAGAATCTTTACGTGGTTGATGTAAATTTCTTTGATTTGATTGTTGTTGTTGAGCGTAATCATTACCTTGAATATCATCAAGATTTGAAAAGGGTGGATTTAATTTTAACAAGTCTGCAAGATATGGACCAATCGGTGCAGTATCCCATGGTGGACAAAACACAGTACTTGCTCGACTACTAGCTGCAGGTGATGATGCGTTCGATTCCACTTTTGTGTTCTTATTTTGATGAGAATCCGATGATATTTGCTGTCGTGTTGGATGCTGTTGTCTGTTTGAACTTGTATTCCACGCATCTTGTTCACATTGATGACTATCAGAAGACTGTGGTGTTCTAGGCGCTGACAAAAGTGTCACTCTTGGACACTCGGAAACAGCCAAGTCTCTCATAGTTTGTGATCGCATTGTGCTTTCTGCCGTCTCTGTTGAAGCACTCACGCCTAAACAATGTACAAGTATAGATTATTAGATGAATAATCAGGAAACTAGGGAAGTAAAGGTACTGTTACAATAAATTCTGAGAAGGAATGAATGAAGTCAACTTTGGCATACTTACAAATGTGTAACCATCGTCATGTTCGGTTAAGTGCTTAGCGTATATAACTGGAGTTGAATTATTTCTATCACTTTTTCTAGCCCCTGTCACTTTGGTGTTTACTTATCCACGCAGCTCAGAAAAACAGTAGGTCACTTCGTAAACTATAATTATCTTGGCATTTTCATATCAATGAAACAACGGACTGTTATAAGTACAAAGGAATCCAAATATCCTATCTATTTTATGCTGACCAATTTGCCTAAGAGTCTGTTTCCATTTCAAGGACAACACAAAAACCGGCCATTTCCCTCCAGTTGTCTTTAGATCATACCTGTAAAACATGTCAACACTTTTTCAAAGAATATCAGTAAACATACATTTCGACTCTTCTTTAATTCTGAAAACAGAAGAACAAACACTCCTCTAAACATAAACTGTTAGGTGATTTCTACAAAATCAAAATGAGATACACCTCTCTGTGGTGTCGTTTCAGAATATAAACACCTCAAGAAAAACTAACTGTTAATGCATCATTATTTGCCCCTTGGGTTCCTAGTGGAACACAGAGCTTCAGTAGCATGTCTCCACTTTCCATTCTCTTCTCTGAGGTCTTCTGAACCTGGCTCTCATTTCTAACTCACAGAACATCCTCCATGTCACACTCGCCTCCGATGCTCAACTCACCATTTCCCAGCTGCGTTACACTCCACGGCATAGCCTGATACGTGATGTCCTCAAATCGTCTTCTCAGTGCATGCTCAATCCATCTCCATTTCCTTCCAGTGCATATTTGTTCAGTGATAGCTTCTTGGTTGGTTCACTGAGGCGCCAACCAGAGTTCCTTGTTGCTTATTCTTATTATTCTGGACATCTGAGCTTCAGTAACCAGCCAGCGTATGCAGTTGTTGACCAACATCTGTAGTTTGTTGCAAATCCCTTTCGTGACGCGCCAAGTCTCTCAACCATCACATAGAAGCACTGACTTAGTGTTGAAAATCCAGATGTTGTTCACGGCCAATGCTGAGTGCAGAAGATCTCCACACTGGTTTCAGGTTAGTGAGCGCCTGTCTTTCTGTCTTTCCGATCCTGGCTCACGTCCTCATTTGTGCCACCGCCACCACCACCTGTAGTTGAAAAGATGCTGTCTAGGTAGGTGAAAGAGGCTACTTCCTTTAACTTTCTCCTGTTCATGGTGGTTGGAGCTTCCTGTTGTTGGTGGTGGCGTTAGCTGGGTATCTCCACACCCCTATCTTCTCTACGTTCACTTGAAATCCAGTCTTCCTTCGCTGCCTCGCCTCTTCTGTCAACTCGTTAGTTTTCGCCTATAGATCAGATCTTCAAGTTTGTGTGACACCAGACAGAAGTCATCGGCGAAATCCAAATCTTCTAGGATCTTTTCCGCGGTCTAGCGTATCCCCTTCTTCTCGCTTCTCACTGTTTGTTGCACGATACAGTCCCCCACTCAAGAATATCATCGGTGATAGTAGACAGTCTTGTCTTACTCCTGTCTTCACTTCAAAGGTGTCACTGACCTTCCTATTGTTAATTACTTAGCTTGTGGCATCTTCATATAGTTGTTGAATGAGGCGGATAAAGGTTTGTGGCACTAAAACCATAGTGTTGAATCAGCAGTTGGCAAATTACTTCTCGGTCGATGCTGTTAAAGGCCTTCTGAAAGTCGATAAAGTTGAGATAGAGGGTTGACTGCCATTCTATACTCTGTTCTATGATGATGCGTAACGTTGAGTCTCCGTCTGTACATGATTTGTACTTCCTGAATCAAACCAAGCCTGTTCCGGTCGTAGTTTTGAATCTAGCGCATACTTTACTCTTTCCAGGATGATGCGGCTTAGTATTTTGCTTGGGGTGGGCAGGAGCGCGATTTTGCGCCAGTTCTCTGAAATACTTAGGTTGTCCTTCTTTGGGAGTTTCACAAGGTAGCCCTTCTTCCAATCGCCAGCCACCTCTCCTTCCTTCCAGACCTTCTGAAACAATGGTGTGAGCATGTCCACTGTTGTCCCTGCGTCTGTTCTCAGTGCTTCTGGCGAGGTTCCATCTGGTCCTACTGCTTTCCCGAACTTCAGTAGCTTTATGGCGTTCAAGACTTCGACTTTCGTCGGAGGGCTTGTGGTCACTTGTAGTTCTGTGGCTGGGTTGCAGGTGGTATTTCTGGACGAAGTGCAGGTGCTGGTCGATTCAAGAGCTTCTTGAAGTGGTCAGCTCATCGTTTCCTTTGTTTCTCTTCTTTCGTAATTAAATTTCCTTCATCATCTTTTATTGGTCTCATCTGTGTTGATCTCTCCGATCCCAGATAGTAACCTGGTTATTTGATACAATGTTGTCAGGTGTCTCCTACCAGCAGCCTGTTCCGTTTCACTTGCCAATGTGTCGTACAAGTGTCTTTTGTCTTTGAGCACACTCTTCTTCACTTCTTTGTCAATGCATCATACTGGTGACTAATATTTCCAGTTCATTATTTTAACTTGCAATTTCTTTACATTGATGTATTGATCGATTGATTATTCAAATGGATCAATAAATGAACACATACATGCACAGATTGAACAGCAAATGGATTTTAATGTTGTGTTTATTGATTTAAACAATGTTGATACCTAATTCATCATTAATGATAAAAATGAGTTGCTCTAAAGGGCCACCATAATAACAACAGCCAATTAACTTATTCTATAAAAAATATATTTCTAGCCAGAATAATCGGTGACTATTAGAATGACTCCTCAAAAGTACAGTTTGCCTTTAGCAGTGACTGCAAATTGGAGCTTACTTGAATTTTGTTGACCTTGAAAACAATTCCTCTCAGGTGGACCAATAGTTTCAATAGAGATTAAATGATCATTACGTTTGACATTATACTTTTTACAATTATTATAATGATTTACAAATGTATCTGTTATATCTGATGTCTCGGAGTCTGGACCATTATTACGAAAGCGTTCTGAATAGATGATACTAGTCATGGGTGTATACAGCATGGAGTCTTTCACGTGTGGTGTTGTTGACGCTGATGGCTGACTGAATTGATGACTGGTTGTAGAACTGGATGATACTTTTGTTTTGTTTGTTTGTAATGTATTTCCTTCTTCATTATTGTGTATTCGGGTGATTTTGTCAATCTGCATTCGAAAAATATGAAAAAGAAATTTGGAGGATAAATATATCAACTTTTAATCAAGGGTGAGGGCATTAATTAATTTCATGCATCGAAATGAACTTCAACGCCATATTTTGCACACTGTTCATCGATATGATTTAAATTCTTGATGTAGAGAGATGTGGCTTCGATAGGATGCGTCAGGAATGATCATTTAATCGGCGTGCATAGGTTAGGCACCCAAGTAAAGTACTAGGACATACATAACTGTCAGCTCCAGCCAACAGGCTTATAGTACCATTACATATCGTGCAAGTCGCCTCATCATCAGTCAGGAGGAACCAATTTGTTCTAAAACGAATATGTTCTGGTTACAGGAGAATCGCTTGAAAATCCTCACCTTCGGAAGTTAAGATACTGACCAGAACAAGCTACAAAGTTACGAAGTCTGAGGTGCGAAGGTAAATTTTAATTGGATATTTGTATTCTCAAAATTAACTAAAAGTTCTCGGTTGAAGAAAGTGAAAGTGAAATCGACTTAGTTGATGAAGTCGCGTTCAATCGTTGTTTTACCTAAAAAATTTCGTCTTTTTACCATCCCCACCGTTATTTTACAACTTTTTTCATCTTTTCATCATTGATCATTCGGCTGGGTGCCTGCCGTGAAACAGTCTTGCTTCACTGATATTAAAAATCCCAGTCATTGGGACAACATATGTCATTACATCGCAATGAAAAACTCACCATACTGAAATGCGGATTCGAACACCATTGCCGAGTATCTGATAAAAAGAAACTTTAACTGCTTGACAATTCACCAGTTTACTCAGTCCAGTTCTAAATGAAAGCAGTTCCCAAATGAATAACTGAGCGACAACATCTCTGAATGTTACACCGCCAGTGGGAACCTCAATCCTAAACAAAAGAATTAATACAATCAAGGACTGAACTGACGACTACTGACAAGCACAAGACCGTGACCAGAAGACTGACATCATAAATGCCTTCAACTATTCAACGTTAAATCAGTTTTTAGAACCAAAAGCAAAAGCCTCTTCATAAGTCCTAATGAACAGTACATCATTCGACTCATAATTTGACAGCGAAATTGAATTGCACTGAGAAGTATTAGCTTGAATCTCTTCTATTTATTTATTCAGATGTAACTTTTGAAAACCAATAAGAAGTCAACAACTGTTTTGCTCTACTTTGAAACCCCTCATTAGTCACTTCAAAATACAATATAACCATCATTCATCAAGACTCTGATTTGATTATTCCAACAGGATACAGCATCATACAATATCATGAACATACGATAGTGTCGGAGCATTAGCATAGAAGTCCATCGGCCAAGAGAGGTTGAGCAATTCGACCCAGTATAGTGACGGGGTACCACAAGTATGAAACAACAACTGATACCCATTACAGTGGTCTAGTGATTAACACTTTACCATTTGAAGCGATAGATACAGGGCTAAGGTCTTAGTGGAGGTGACATCACTTACTGGAATACAAGTACATCCAGCTGAAGAGTCCTAGATAGGACGAAACATGCGTCCCGAATTTCACTGCTAGTCACCAACATGAATACATCATGAACACTTAGGCAGTAGTAAGGTATCAGCACAAGAGCGATTCGAACCAGTTAAGCGACAGGAAACTACAAGTATTGAACAACAGGATAAGACTTCGTTTAGGAATTTCAGGAAATCGTGCTTAAAGCCAGAAGCATGGTAGCACAGAACTCTTAGTTCAATTAGGTGATTAACGAGTAACTATTCAGTATGAAATCTGTTTTTTCGCATTTCATTAGAGCTAAGGTGAATTCACATTATATTCTCCCACTAACTTCAATGAATTTTTATAGCAAACATGTCGCAGAATCGATTAGTTTCCACTAAACATGTGTGCAGACGGATAAAATACAGTTTGCCTTTTCCTCTTTTTTTCAAAAGTTTTCAATTTTTTCACTAATTACATAACCGAAACATCACTCACTGTAAACCATTACACTTCGGGAAATATGTATTGCAATGAATACACATATACTACTTAATTAATGATGTTGGTAGCGTCTCGCAGGATGCACAGAATGAAACAAAGCTAGTGTGTTTTTCTTGTTGGTGTCGTAGTTTCTGTCTTTATCATCAAAAAACACTCCAGTTTTAGGACAAAGAAAAACAGGTGATTCTTTTTAACAATTTGTGCGTTTATCTCAGGCATCTCATCCCTCTTTTTCTTGTTCGGTTTCACACTGCTCATTATTTTCTGCTTACATTATCATTTTTCTTCCCTAGTTTTTTCTCACTCAATTTATTGCTTAGTTCTGTTGTCCTCGAGGACAAAAATGTGACCTCAACGCATTTGGGGAAATTCCCAAGGGATATGCTAACACACCCTAGCCTCGGACGCCCAACTCGTCATTTCCCATTTCGATCCCACTCGAGGGCCTGGCCTGATACGCGATATCTTCAAGCGGTCTTCTTAGTGTATGTCCAATCCAATCCATCTCCACTTTCTTCTGCATACGTGTTGGGCGATAGGCTTTTGTTGGTTTGTTGCAGGGTCAGTCAGAGTTTTTTGTTTGGAGCCATCTGATCTTCTTTACATTTCCAAACCAGTTGCAGAACTGGAAAATACTAAACGATGTAGGAGTTCCAGAGTCAACTCATGTCCTAACAACTGAAACCAGTGAATGACCATCTTCGTAACTCTGAAAGGCACGCTACCAGGCTTCAGAATCCCTAACAAAGTACTTCAACCAGACGTCAGCGAACAGTGAAATGGAACATACAGTTGCCGGGCACCTTCAGCACGAAGAGGCTACGTTTGGCAGGCAACTGATTATATGATATTTGAGTAACCTACATGTTTAAGTACAAAAAAATGATATCATCTGCATACTAGAGGTCGAAAAATCTTTCTTGCATCGCCTTATTATAATGAGACACGTTAGAAGTGTATTTTTCCCTCCTAAACTCACACATCGCGTGATAAACTTGCACATGTCTCAAAGTAAACAATGGGATTTTTCAAAAAAAGCATTTTATATCGGTGTTCACTGGTGTGAAAAATCCCCGAGGTGTTTTATGATTGATAGTGTGTAGTGGTTCAATATAATCGTAAGGTTGTTAGCTTTTCAAAAAAGTCACTTATACATCTGGTCAGATAGTATTACACAGCCTACCACACATGTACTAAGGTGACAATCTTTCAGTGATTGTAGAATGTGCAACAGACACTAGTAGGTGTAGATAAATTAGAAGACAAGTTTTTTTCCTTATCTAAATTTCCAAATGTGATAGATAATAGCAATAAATCATAACAGGTGCGTGAATTACACTAAATATCTATTTTCCTAAACTGATGGCATACAGTTGAACAGCCATGTCTAGATTTCTGTACCAAGTTACGAACACCTGCGCGCAAGTGTCACACCTCAACAGACCGAGTGCAACCGGGACTCGTCACCAACTGTCTGTAACTTGTGAGCCAAGTCAGGAAAGTCATAGCTCAGAGGTGTTTACGAGGATATGGATGATGTGTTCGAATTCTGGTTGAAAGAGATTCGAATTCAATAAAGTAACTAGGCAATATGTTATTTATACTCAGTCAGTGTGCACCCAAAGCGATCCTATTGCCTTAGGGTATGCGGTTTTTGTACAAATGTGTGAACATCATCATCATCGACTGCTTACTAATGCCTTCTGGTGTTTGTCCAGGATCCATTCCAATCTGTATTCACCCACCTATTGGAAAAAAAGTTACATTTCACTTCGATCTGTGAATTTTCAGACCTCACTATACTAACTAACCCTAGTGGCTACCAAAGGGGTTAAAGATGATAGTTTATCGAGTTCAAGACTTATCAGCTAGGTGTATGTCCATCTGTTAGTGCTGTCTCCAATGGCAGTAGGACTCAATCCATCAAATAGTTATCCACAAGGATAATTAGGTATATCAGAAATCTTTTTTCCTGTGACTTTTGGTTGATATTTGAACTCTAGAGTTATCCGTTACTCAGCATATTGATTCACTGTGACTAACGATAATACGAATATTCAGTTACCCCCCCCCCCCACCCCTGCTTAACCCTACAAGTAATCCTGTAGAAAGCAAAAACGTGTCATTGGTGTTATTATTGTTATTTGCCCCTTGAGTTCCTAGTGGAACACAGAGCTTCAGTAGCATGTCTCCACTTTCCATTCTCTTCTCTGAGGTCTTCTGAACCTGGCTCTCATTTCTAACTCACACAACATCCTCCATGTCACACTCGCCTCCGATGCTCAACTCACCATTTCCCAGCTGCGTTACACTCCACGGCATAGCCTGATACGTGATGTCCTCAAATCGTCTTCTCAGTGCATGCTCAATCCATCTCCATTTCCTTCCAGTGCATATTTGTTCAGTGATAGCTTCTTGGTTGGTTCACTGAGGCGCCAACCAGAGTTCCTTGTTGCTTATTCTTATTATTCTGGACATCTGAGCTTCAGTAACCAGCCAGCGTATGCAGTTGTTGACCAACATCTGTAGTTTGTTGCAAATCCCTTTCGTGACGCGCCAAGTCTCTCAACCATCACATAGAAGCACTGACTTAGTGTTGAAAATCCAGATGTTGTTCACGGCCAATGCTGAGTGCAGAAGATCTCCACACTGGTTTCAGGTTAGTGAGCGCCTGTCTTTCTGTCTTTCCGATCCTGGCTCACGTCCTCATTTGTGCCACCGCCACCACCACCTGTAGTTGAAAAGATGCTGTCTAGGTAGGTGAAAGAGGCTACTTCCTTTAACTTTCTCCTGTTCATGGTGGTTGGAGCTTCCTGTTGTTGGTGGTGGCGTTAGCTGGGTATCTCCACACCCCTATCTTCTCTACGTTCACTTGAAATCCAGTCTTCCTTCGCTGCCTCGCCTCTTCTGTCAACTCGTTAGTTTTCGCCTATAGATCAGATCTTCAAGTTTGTGTGACACCAGACAGAAGTCATCGGCGAAATCCAAATCTTCTAGGATCTTTTCCGCGGTCCAGCGTATCCCCCTCTTCTCGTTCCTAATGACATAATTGAGAAGATAATCAGTCATCGGTTTATCCCAGTATGTTAGGCACTCCTTTGACCTCTGCTCCTTTTGGTTCACCCATTTCTCATCAAAGTTGATCGGATAGTGTAAACATTTTCTATTCATAGTCATGAGAAGATACACTCTCATGTGTCATGTACGTTAGCAATAAAAACAAACAGTGGATATCTTCAGGTAAGAAGAAAGGCACTTCATCGAGGAAACGGTTAAGTAAAGTCACAAAAGAGAATGTATAAAGTATGTGAATTAGCAGAATACATTTAGCTAACTACGGATAAACTTTACTGAAGCACTAAACTATTGGTTATTCAGTCATGAACCAGAGTTGTCATCATCTACTTTGATTTAAGCAACCAGGTATTAAATTCAGTTGATGAAATCAGCGTAGAAAATGTTTATATGAAGCAGTGTTTTTGGTGAATCAGCTGTTCAACGTTTAGGAATATAGGTCAAGGAGAGTTAAACACTGCTACACTTAATCAAATAAAAGGTTGTGTTTATTCAGTAGCTTATATACCATAGGTAAGACTTACTGCCTACCACATTAACCTGAGTACTTGATTGCTCGGTCACAAGTCCATGTAGTAATCGGATTTCACTCCGTTTTAGTTCAATTTACAATGATCATAATGTTGTCTTAGGTTATTACACTTGTGAAGGAGACATAGGTCTATGCATATAACAAATTATTTTTAGGCCCGCTGTATTATGGTTAATTTCTTTGAAGATGCTAACCATCTACAATTTGTCAAACAACAGTAACTTCCATGATCCTGGGTTATGACTGAAGTTGGAATGAAAATCCAGGACATGGCGGGATTTGAACTAGTGACCACCGGGTTTCAAGCCCATTGTTCTACCAACTAAGCTACGAAACCCGACAACCGGCTGGATTTTTATTCCACTTCAGTGACCAAGGTTCTTTCCCCGACTGCTGTATGAATCCATGATGCGTTACTATCGCTTGGTTGTACTCATACTGTCTACCCTGTTATGATCCAAATCCAAATCTACTTGAATTAGAGAGGGTAAGCGTCATATTGATCATCATTCCGATTATCTAGCAGACTAGTATGCTACTCGGTGGCGAGATCACCCGATAGCCATATTGGTGTTCTTACATATCTTATCTAAACAGAAGTCTATACTTGAGTTTCATGGTCGTTTGTACTCAATAGTTGAGTTTGTGTGTGTGTGTGTGTACGTAGTGTAAGGGCAAGCCCACTTACTTCACCAAAGCGGACATTGATTAGTTGAGTACGTGCATGATTCATAGCATAGGATGGGTGACTTTAAACCCCACCTAGCAATATCTGAGATAACCAATTAGGATTTTATATTTTATGAAAAGTTACTTTTCTACACGGGATACTAAAACGTGATTGGTATTAGATCAGTTGCCAGGATGGCCATTAAAGTCACCCTTAAAGTCATTCATAGGACGAGTGACTCAAAGGGCCAGCCTAAGAACTGAAATTATTTAGATTTCTCTGTTTCGGCAGGAAAGGTAACTTTTAAAATACAAGCAACCAGTTGGTGATTTAGGTAGTTACTAGAGTGAGCATTATAGTCACACCATAGAACACATGGTTAGTGATGTATTAAACGTTTTCCTGTACAGTAGGAGGGAGAAAGGATGGATAGCCAATGGTTTGCGAATATCTCATCCTGTGTTGACTTCAGTCGCTGACTCATGCAGTAGGCAGAGCTTGGTAAGTGAAGGTATGGCTCTAAGTACCACCTCAGGAACTACTGAGATGACCAATTAGGTTTCTTCATGAAATCTACCTTTTCGAGTGACTTTAAAGGCCACACTAACAACTGTTGAAACAGCCAGTCAAGTTTCAGTATTTTGGTTAGGAAGTTAGATTTTCCGTGATTTGTTGTCTTAACAGTTTCTAGGGTGACCTTCAGAGTCACTCTTAACTCGTCAAAGTTATGCTGAAACTTTGATTAACTTTAAAGGTCATAATACAACTACTGAAATGATCAATTAGGTTTTCTGTTTTCTGTAAAAACTATCCTTCCAGACGAAATACAGGTACTTACTTGGTTACCCAAGTGGTTATTAAGTTGGGTTTAAAAGTTACTGGACTATGAGCTGTAGTAATTTCTAGTGTGCATTCAACAATATACAGTGAATTACCATGTCACATCTACAAACTTACTCATCCAACCATTGCATTGCGCTGCTGTTCAAATAAGGTGAAGGTACCGTAGTCTAAGCTATAACACACTATTTATCTATCCACCTTTTTAAGTCATAATGATTCATGTAACTATCGACTAATTAGAAGTATAAGCTGGGTTCCATGTTTGTTAGAGTTCACTACAAAGTCCATTCTGGAATCTTGATACATATGCCAATCAACTGGCTCGAATTTGTGTCACTCTGTACCATAGTCAGTAACTTGGGAATTAGGCTATTTAGTTATGGACATTGTCAACCGGTATCGAGCTTGTAATATTAGAACAGAGTGTATTGGAAAGTGACATATACTAATCAACTACATGAGTGGTTGGATAATCAGTTGGAAGAATCTATAGGTTAGTGTGAGTGGTTTCCAACCACTCGTTTTTGGGTATTATATTATGCTGGTACATGACACTATTGTGTCAGAGATCACGACTTGTGTTCTTAACTGTAGGGTCATTTCCAACAGAAACCCTGTTAAGTGGCACCATAACTGGGCTGTGAGTAATGCCAGCTGATAATCCTACACATTAAAAATTATTGTGTTACCAAATTTAGAAGTCAATTGGCACACTTGATCAGCAGACACGAATCAGAATTCAGAAGATGACGGCTGGTGACCAATTCAACAAGTGACAGAATCTATATAACATACGTGTAAAATACATAGAACACGTCTTCACAAACACCACCGAGTAAACGTCTGCCACGTAGTTTGTATATGGTTATCAAAAGACGAAAGAGTTGATGTATCTCAAACATTAACGCCTTACTGAATGATTGCTTGCGGGGGAGGACAGGAATAGTTTTTGATGTCAGTGAAAAGTAATGAATAGAATATCGGGACATTCTCGGTAGGGAAATCAGTTCCTTTCGGAAAGTTGGTGTGTCTCTTCCTATCCGTCAACGACAGGACGCAATAAGAAACTGAAATAGAGGTTGAGACCAACAACATTATCTGTGGTAGCTATGACTGACAGACCTACCTTACTGTAGAGGGTGGTTGAATGAAGTTGAGAAAAAGCACGGATCATAGCAGTAGTCTGACCTGATCCCTTGAAAAGTTCGGAATTTCTCTCAATTGTCACTGATCTCCTATCAGTTACATAATCAGCAAGGGAATCAATATGCATATAATCTTTATCAGTTTGGGTGGTTTGAACGATTCCTCTTTCTGAGGTGGATCACTTTGGGTACATCGTGTATGAGTTATGCCTCGATCAAACGGAACGAAAGTTTGATGTTTAAATCTCCCCAGTCTAGCTACAGAATACCGGTTTGATAGCTGTAATGAACATTTTTTACAAGGAATCTCTATTGCCACAGCGTTGTGGAAGGTAGTGATTTCAGAAATGCAACTTTTATATTGCATGCCAGACGTTGGAAGTCGATTAGCAGTACACCACAGTTCAGTGTAATTTCACATTACAAAGCTTAGTTGATAAGGTTCAATAAGTACTCAACACTTAGGAGTAGACAGCCGCATTAGTTACGCTTTGGTTGCCAATTCGTGTAGGTAAGCCCACTGCGGGTTATATATATATATCCTGAAAATAACTGCTAACAGTCTTCGCCTTCAATAAGGCTATTCATTACACTATTAATGCACTTAGATGTGCTCGTTTATCTACAGTATAAATATGCATGTGCTCTAACTCAAGGTCAACACATAAATTGTGATTTGTCGATGGACTTGAAAAAAATCAATAAAACTGGATAAAATATTTATGAATAAGAAGATAGTGAATAACCAACCTCTTCTGTAGGTAAGATATTATTTCTTAACCATGTTGAACTTTCACCTAGAAACAATAATCCATGCCGTCTACAGTTATTATCATTTAAATAATCGTCAGAGGCTAGTTCCATGTAGGGTTGTGATCGTTTAGACGATTTTTTAGTTGTATATGCACGTCGTAATTTAGGTTTGTTGATTGTATTCATAGAGTGAAATATACTATTAATATCAGTCGTTGTAGTTGTAGCAATGGTTATTGCCTTAGTAACCTCTTGATATGTTGATGTATTCAGATGCTGATCATTCGTGGATTTGACTGTCAACTCTTCACACAGCGATGGTGTTGTTGTACTTGAAAGTTTGTTAACAGATGAAGAGGATGAAGTTGAAGTGTCAGCAACAATAGCTGCGGCAGTAGTGGTGGCGGAACAATTTGGAAAACCCGATAAGAAATTGTAATCGTCGATTGGATAAGCCTTAGCTTTCATAACAAACACATGTCCAACTGTTTGTGGTGTTGCTAGCTCCTTCAAATCATCCAATTTCAATGAACATCTAAGATGTAAACGAAATATTAATAAGGTAATAATTACATTGTATCAAACAAGATAATGATTTCCACAGAGATTACTGACTGGTTGGAATTAAACTGTGGCGACAATTCACCATATCTAGCTATTTTATAACATTCACACACACACACACACACACGCAGAAATAGACATATCATGAGTCACATAGGCAAATTAGCCAACGCTCACAATGGATATAAAACAAACGTAGGTGTTGAATGTGATTAACCAATAATATCAGAGTGTGTATAAGATGCACTCATCGAGGGTGACTTTAAAGGTAACCCTAGGGCTGATGAGACAGCCAATTACATTCCTTCATTCTATGGAAAAGTATTTTTCCGGGTGAAATGCCAAAGCCTAATCGGTCATTACACTAGTTACTAAGGTCGTCTTTGAAGTCACTCCTAACTAAACTGACCGTTAATCATACATGTATCAGAGTTAATATAAGAACTGTACTAAAAATCACTTTTTCAGTAGCTAAATTAGTTTCCGTATACAAAACAGTGATCACTACAACAATCCAAAGTCGACATATTACCTTAAATAGTATCTGCCAGTTCCCATGTACATGTTAGAGCATGTACTCAGGAAAGACTGAGACTAGATTTTGTGAGCTCATTGCAAATAAGTTGAACTTAAAAGAGCCAAATCGCCTTAAAAGTTCCTTTACTAAACATCTCTAGCTGGGGCCCCCGAGATGGTAGGAATCAGTGGTTGAAGACTATTGGTTATGTGGCTGGAAATTGTTTAGAGTTGTGCAGATGTGTTCACTCATTGATATCTTATAAAGCTTGAATATTCACACTAACGTTTGTCTTCGAATTACGTTTTCTCTCACACTTTTTCTACTTTGATATCACTCTTTTCGTGTCCACCAGTTCTTTGTATGCTACTGTTAAGTGTGGCAAGTTGAACTGATGCACTTGTGTGCGAGGTTCTACGTTGTTTCTGTATGTTTATCCTCAAGTATAAAAATATATAAGTTAGGCATAAGTACGTTTGTGCCAGTCAAAATGATTCCGGGTAGTGTCATCTAGAGTACCTAGTAATCGGTTTCAGTTATCTTGTAGATTCAAACGAAAAGCCATTATTTGTCTACATACCTAACACCACCAGTTTGGAACTTTATGTACCAGTACCGCGTTTTGGTGTATGCAGTCAAACTTAGGTTCCTTTCATCCTACGCCGACTAATACAGCGCATTAGAATAGATAAAGGATTACATGATTACACGTAAACTCGAGTGTTATTGATTTTTTATTCTTAACAAGCCTATACATTGTTGGATATAATATCAAGTGAAGCAAATGAAGATGAAATTGGATCAACTTTTTGAAATAAAAATGAAAGAACACTCAACTACTACACTGGTAATATTAAACGTTCAACTCAAATTTGCCTTAACTCGGATCCCAGTGGCAAAACTACCACCCAATGGATTGCAAGTAATTCCAGATAGCATACTTGGAACAGAAAGAAAATCTCATCTTGAACGTATACCGCCCGACAGTACCACGAAAGTAGTGTCAAAGTGAAAGCTGAGATACTACCAAGGCTTCTATTCAAAGGGCCCACATACCAAAACAGACTGATCAAACAGACAATTGTGTTAACTGAAGAAGAATAGAAGACAGAATAAGGTGAAAAATACTCTTTTTGAGGCGAAGAGAAAAGAGAGAATATAAGAACTTGTTGATTGAATAGTAGCATTTTGTGCTTACTGAGTCATTGGCTCACGTTTTTCCCTACCTTTTTCCACTTTCAGATTGTCGTGGTTACCCCTAGACTTAAACTCTTCCATGCACCCCACGAAAACCTACCAACAGTTAATCTTTAAAATTTCTCCATTTGCTAATAAAACATAAGAGACAGGTGCAATTTTAAAAATCAGCCTGCCATGACAGTAATGTATGTTAGTAGCTTATGTTATAGTGCCAACTGCATTGAAACAAGTGACATTATTGAGAAAATATTTTGAATAAAACAATCAATTGTGCATAATTATTTCAGTTGAAAGTAAATTGTTCTTTTCTTTTGAAAGTCACATGAGTGCACCTATGGGGGGCTTTTATTTACCAACTAATCGAAGTCACTTAGTTCATCCAGTATAGAACTGATCTATTTTTGATATTCATTTGACTAAATATAATAATCACCTACCGATAACAGATACAGACTTGGAAAAATATTCCAATGGGCTGATTTAAAACTAAGAAACAATGCACTGTCAAACAGTAGACCCAGATACATAACGCTCAATAGCTTCTTTATGTTGATGGCACATCGATAGAATTTTTATCTCCTTATACTAGAAAACACTAACAAGAAGAAATTGAGCAAATAGGAAGTGTGCGTCTTTCATTTCTGATAGTAGTGTGTTGACTAGCCTGATTTTGATCTGACGGGTTATTAAAGGTCAAGCACATGCTCTTTAAGTATGGTGCTTTTTTATCAACTTCTTCAATTTTTGAACAAAAAATACTCATATTCAGTCATCGTGTGGTAGGTGTTGCTGATCAGAATGGATATAAGTAGTATATGTTGAGAGGGCTGCAGAAATCATAGGGAATTATCAGCCAAGAATAAAGATTCTGCCTAGAGAAACGCAAGAAACAATGCGGACGTATTAAAAGCAAATCAAGATAAAAACAGAAGAGGAAAAGGAGCACATTATGCAAACGACTCAGTGGAAGGTGTACCAATTTGATGACTACTGTACCAGATGTCAACAATATACATTCCTTTCTTCGTCTCCCTCTTGTTGTTTTCAACACTAGAACAAAGATGTAAAAGGAATGACGACGATTTCATTGACTACGGCTGTACAATCGTATTTTTAAGTAATGCTAACGCATAATAGACTATTATTAATGCATAAGATCACGTGACTACTATAATGCTCAACAGTAGAATAAAAAGTGGTTTTTAGAAATGGAAAGAAACCACTACTTCGTTCGTGGTAAGGCTAATGAATACGCCTGATGGCTTTAAACACAAAGATAATATTCATTATTAAAAATTGCCAATGATTTGACTAAGTACAGATGACGCAGTTGAAGTCCTTCGAAAGAACTCATAACAGCTTCATAAATAGGCCTTAAGACTAAGATACCCGTCTTTCCTTCTCGGATTATAATTTCAGAATAGAATTTTATCAAAGAATAAAAGAAGGACATCAGTTACATTGGAAGTGTTTTTAGGATCGTCTGATCTTTAGTTTAAGTGAGTTATCGGGTAACTGAATTGTTGTCATGCTACTCGCGTGAATAACCAACCAGTTGGTTAACAGGGAAGCTTATATGATTATCTGAGTAACACTGTAAGTCGTATTGATCTTGGTGGCTGGCAGAGGAATCCAGGACGCGCATTTTGTCATGCTTCGGACTCGTCAGCTGGATGTACCTGCATCCTAGTGAGTGGTGTTGTTCCCCCCCTGGAGCTCGAACCCAGTACCCATCGTCTCAAATGCCCGAGCGTTTTCCATTATGCGACTGGGGCACGACAGTCACCTCTTATGATGATACTTGTAATTCCCCTTTGCTATACAAGGCCTAGTTGCTCGACCTCTGTGAATAGTAATTTGCAGGTATCTATTATTATCTTGACTGGTCAATGGAGAGTAGCCAATTTAATGTTGTTTATGCTTAGGTGCTGACTAAGATTGCAGACATGTCTGGCTGATGGGTGCCAGTAAGCATAAAATCTATGTAAAGCAGAGATTCCTTGGGATTACTATTAACCAGTTAACATCAATCAAAGTGCACCGCGATGATAAACCCCTTACCTCGGTGATCAAATCACAAAATGATCGATAGAATTTGGTCAGCATATAAGACTAGAAAATATGAAATCGGTTACTCCCCAGTGACAAATCAATGTATGCCCTTTGATCTTATAGGAAGCCATTCGTGGTCCAAGTAACTGTGTCGTGGCTTCTTTGATTACACTTTTTGGTGTTTTTAGGTTCTTGTCTCCGCCAAAAGGTATAAAATTTACAGTTAAGGCATCCTAGAGATGGCCTTCAACTATCAAGTATCAAATAATCCTGTAATACTTTCCTAGTCATAACAACTTTTCCTTTGAGTGTGAACATATTTGTTTATTTGTGTTCTGTCTTCTTATCCACTGTCAAAAGTACTTAACCTAACAGCTATCAAGATTAGGTAAAGTAAGGTTATAAGGTGCTCCTAGTCAGGTTAACAGAAGTGTTAAGCAGTATACGGGAATCAAATATGATCCCCTCTGAGTGGTCTAAATCACTGATTATGCCAGTCTTCAAAAAAGGCGATAAGTCCTCTTGTGATAACCACAGAGGAATCAGCCTCACGAACATAGTGTCCAAGATCCTAGGCTCTATAATTCTTCGACGCCTGAGTGGAGCTCGGGAACAGCAAGCTAGAGAAAATCAGGCAGCCTTTAAACCCGGCCACGCGGTGTCGACCAAATATTCACACCGCGCCAGGTTCTGGAACATAGACATGCTTACAAACGCCCAACAATAGCTGTATTTCTCGATGTGAAGGCGGTATTAGACTCCATTGATCGAGAATTCTTATGGTATTGTCTCTCACTGAAAGGCATGCCGAGTAAGTACATCACCTTATTGAAGGCTCTCTACTCAAACACTTGCAGGCGTGTTACAGCCTATGCTGAGAAGTCAGGTGACCTGTACTCATCGAGTCGTATCCGTCAAGGATGCACACACTCTCCATTCTTATTCTATCTTATCATAGATATTCTTATAGAGGTCTCCGCAGAGTCTTCTGAACACTTTGAGTGGGAATTTGAGAATGTTTGGGATGCGTTTCTCACCACCCAAATGTAAATTGTTGCTCCACGATTGGTCTTCAACGGTGCTATGACTGACGATAGAGAGTGTAGTGGTTGGATGTGTTGACCACTTCACTTACCTGGGAAGTAGGATGAGCCCTGGCAGCTGGCTCAGTGGCCGATGAAATTTGGGCACGGATACAAGAGGCTTGGCTGGCTTTTGCCAACTTACGCCACCTGTAGCGCCGCCGTGATATCCGATTATCCATTAAGGGTCGCGCATACTGCACAGCAGTCTGCTCTGTTCTACTGTATGGCTGTGAAACATGACCACTGAAGGTGGAAGACATGAGAAGGCTGGATTCAGGTGTTTGACCACCATTGCCTTCGCAGTATACGCCGTATTCCGTGGTGTCACCACGTGAGTAATGCAGACGTCAGGTATAGAGTCTTAGGGAGTAGAGGTAAGTAAGTTGACGAGGTCATGAACCTTCATCTACTGATATGGTAGGCACACGTGTTACGCATGCCTAGTTGCCGTCTGCCTCGTCACACAATGTTGGTCAAAGTAGGTTCAGGTTGGAAAAAGGCTCTAGGCGGCCAGACTAAAACATGGCACCAATGTATGAAGTCTTTGACTGTTGGTCTGGGTCATGTGGGCGATGCACACTGACCACCTGGGGTCAGCGGGACAAGAGGAACCAGTGGTTGGAGACTCTAGGTGATCACATGGCTCATAATCGAAGTCAGTGGGTCAGATGTATACACATTATCCTCACCTTAACGCTATACCGAATCTCATTACTTTCTCATTCTTTCTTTCTCTCTTTTCGTACTTTATATTTCTTTTGGCTCTATTTTCTTATCTTCATCTTGCACCTCACTGCCTTTTTACCTTGATATATTGATATGAGGTGTGGCAACTCGGACCACTACGCAGTAATGCCTGGTCCTATGTTGATGATGATGATATGGAGATTAGGATACCATGTATGGTTATAAGCGCTTAATCTAAATCTTAGCGTGACCACGATTATCGAGTATTATATCAGTCGTGATTTTTATTATCACTCGATCAATAAGACAGAAAAACTGTCAGCTCATATCAACAAACATAATGCCATAGCATTGAGTTTGAAACACAATCACTAAGACCAATCTTAGAAATGAGTTCTTAGTAGTTGGTAATAAAGTTATCACGTTATTTTGATTTACTGCATGAGGCAATTTTGATAAAGTCATCCAGAGAGTTGACTGATTACCACTTTATCTTCTTTAATGTGATTTTTACCATCGAATGATTATTTTTGTTTATAAGCGTAACTATTTGAGTTAGCCGTGGTTTGGCAAGGTGATTTATTTTCATAGTTACTTCCATATCAGTGCAAGGATATGTTGGAACTAAATAATGAAGAATGTTCAGATGATGAATAGAGTACTAGGTAAGGGAGACAAATCAATCGAACTGAGACGTTGGGAACATATGCTGCATCTGCACGGCCGCCAATTGCCCCGATTTTTAATGTTAGCCGAAGCAGGATTAAACTGAAAGAAATCTAAGGGTCTTCAGACCAAGACGTAACACAATCCAAGCAGTTTCTTATTGCTGGTCCAAGCCATTTAGGCACATGTACGCTACCTGGCTGAGATCCTGAAGATGTCGCCAATCAATAGTGTACCTCAAACTTAGTTTTTCTTTTCATTTCTTTGCATAAAGTAAGTCTCCCTTTACATCCTCAACAGCAAGTAAATGGCCTTACTCTCTAGTCTCTTCTCACTTATTAAATCCATAGTTAGGTGATCGTGATGTAAATGAACTGTTCTGAATTCAACTCAAAATTAGTATGCATTCATTGTACTACTGGTAGTACTTTCAAATTAGGCAGAAACTAGAATCTGTTATCCTAAAAAGTCATTAATACTCCCCCTCACCTTTTATCCAAATGAAGACATCTCGCTATAGAAACTGTCTACAAAACAATCATTCTCTCCTTTATCGAAAAAGTGAAAAAGGAATAGTAAACTCACCTTGTGGTTTGATAATTTTCATCTTTATCAACTATTACATCATAATCAGATAATATTTTATCGATACAATCTTCACTGTCTTTATCATTCTGGTTTGTAAAATTTCTGTCCTCTTGTTTTTCATCAATGTTACCAAATTTTGTATCAATCGTTAGCTCATCACTGAATGATCCATCCAAATAAGTTGGATTTGTCATAGCGTCTCGATCGATGACACTATTATTATTATTACCACTATCGACTATTCGCGTGAAATAATTTGGAAGTTTCACTCTTGAGCATGGATTTTTATTACTACTATTATTGATATTTCTATTAGGAGCATCGCCAGTAACAACAGTTGTGATATTGTTAGCAGAATCAGATATCTTATTCTCGCGCATAGCATTTCCCGTATTGATGTGTAATGACTGTGTAGTTGCTTTATCTGTAGAGTTTCTATAGTATGCATCTAATGAGGATTGTGATTTTTCAGCTGGCAACGAGATTTGATGCTTCAGTTGACGTTTTTTGTCTTGTGAATTGACAATTTCATGGGGAATTGTTAATTCATTGCCTTCACTGATGCTGTTGTTGTTCATTCTGGATGGATTAAATGGTGTCGTATGAACAAAGCGTGGTGGGGCATAGGCTTTCATCTGGTGTGATGCGCTGTTATCAATGTCAGTATTATTATTATTATTACTATTACTATTAGTAGTATTAGTAGTAGTTTCATTGGTTTCTGTATTGTCCATATTCTTAGGATGTTTTGTCGTTTGATTTGGATCCCAAAAGCGCCATAGTTGTGATCCCCCAGTTTGAACAGGATTTAATGACTTGGCTTGCAGCAGAACATCCCAGAATTCATTCTCAGCTCCTTCATATACCTAAAGCAATAAGTATAAAAGTAAAGATAACTTTTATGAAAACGCATTTTGACATACTGGTGTCACAGTAAGTTAATAATAATAACTCTACCAATATGTCCGTGTGTCTATATGAGATTAGTCGCTCTTATTGAACTAACTAAACTGGCTTCACTTGAAAAGATGCTACCTAGCACCCTAGCTAACATGTCGGTTGACCAAACCAGGATGGCTGAAGTAGGATTCGAACCTATGACACGCTGGTTGTAAGTCAGATGTCTAAACCGACGGATCACAGCTTCCTTATCCGAATAAAACAACTGAAAGTTGAACAATATAAATTTGGATCACATTTCAGCCAACTGGAAGTTCTACCTTAGTAGACAGGTTGTTTATACGACTTTGACGTGTTAACCAGTAAGGGTATCAAGCTGTTATCCAATGGCAAACATTATTTACGATTTTCATCAACACCTACATGCTTGTCTCTAAGTATTGATTAATATGTTCTCCATAAAATATACGGCTTTCCATATTTCCATGGAATATCAGAGAACAACTGTGGACTGTATGTAACAACTTTATCATTAAAATGCGTAAATATTTTATCTCACTAGGTAAAATATTTATAAGCTTGCCATTACTGATAAAAGATTCAGGAACTTTTCGTTACTCATCTCCGATATATTATTCTTCAGCTACCTAACTTATTGTGGAGTATGCGGCTCGTTTCAACATCTATTCTAGAATATTCTGAAGGTTTAAAATTATACCCAGCTAAAACACAGATTTTGGGTTGCGCATATATATATATATATATATATATATATATATATATATATATATATCCTTTTATGAGGTTCTCGATGCATGCACCAATAAACGATTATATTTCCATCAAAATGAAGTTCATTTTAGCACATACATTCTATACGTGTATATCGATTGGTCAATGGATAGTAACCAATTTCATGTTATCCAGTCCTAAGTACTAAGTGAGTTACATCGATCACCAAACTAGGAAACTCAGCATCACGGTGTACTTTGATTGGTTTAAATTGGTTGTAGGTGATTCTCAGGAAGTCTTGTTTTTTGTAGGTTTCGTGCTTGTTGGCACTCGTCAATAGGGCATATCTACAACTTGAAGAGAACTGATATCTCTTCGAGGATTCGAGCTCGTGTCACCCATTGTTGCAGTCATCGATGTTACCACTAAGCTATTCGGTTGACATGGGTTTGAATCTTAGGGAGGCTATAATTTTGCTTGAGATTGCAGATACGCCTTTCTGACGACACGACGTCTAGGTCCAGAGCCTCCTATCGATTATCGTCATTCGATAAGTTTATTTGTCGTTAATAGATGTTTGATGTTCTCTGAGCTTTGAGGCGCGTTTTTAAACGTTTCATTATCAGACTAGGTGACTCTACCAGCATTTATTTCATGTAAAAATGTTCTTATTTCGCTGGTTAGGAGAACTTAGGAAGCTTGTTGCTCTTTTCTTCACTTTTAGTTCTAGTATTTTTTGACTTTGTTCTGTGCATCCAATATCATTAATCACACCAATTTTCCTCCATTTTGTTCAGCGCACTGTTCCATTCAGTTGACAGGCGTTTTATATTTAACACTTTGTAACTTAAATAAATATTTAGGTAAGATGAATAGTTGTTCTCGGATGGAAGCACTTGAGTCAGCAAAGCTCTTCTACTCACAAGTATAAGGAAAGACACTCCACTTGAAAGTTTTCCAGATAGTAGAGAAGTCTTTATTACAAATTCATCATGATAACTTTTCTCTTATAAACCTGCATACATAAGTGATGTTAAACAGGTGAAATTGTGAAATGACTGACTACCTTTGTCTTCTTTTTTTTAATAGCTAACTTCCTTTTAATTTACACTTAGTCTGTAATCAATTCACATTTTTTTAAGAACTCTTTTATCTTCCCACAGAATTTAGCTTTATGTTAAGTCAATTGATAAATCAGTTTATGGCCCAAATTTCGCCTATTTTTTTTCTTCTATAATATATTTTATTCAATCTATATTAAGTGTGAAGCTATTTAAGGGACTCTTACAAGGTAATGACCTTAACATACTAACCAATCTAATGAATTGGTCATTAAAACGTTTATCGATCGATAAGTTGTGTATAATTGCTTTTTTATAACTTTCTTTTTACTCCAAGGTTATAGAAGACGCCGTAGAAAAATTAAGCTGATATATCATCAATATTATATTCACATGAGAGAGGAAGATACATCCGAAAAGCATCTGTAGCCTTTGAAAAATACTCAAATATCTGACAGCTTGGCAATAAAATTTCCACCTGAGACTAAATAATGAATCGAAAACGTTTTTTGTGATATTTCACTGTAATGATTAAGGGTTGCTTTGGACAAGTCTAATAAATGTGTAAAACTGTAGACAAGATAGTATCGTCAGTAAATCGCGTATCCATATGCAGTTAGATGGAAAGCGAATAAGCCTCTGGAAGTATGGTCCACGGTGACATTTTTATTGTTACTCAAAACATAGCATTAAATGTTGATTGCTATGACCGGTAGTACGACCTAACAGTCTACGAGCGATGCGAGCCTAACAGACAACGAACGATACGAAACTAGCGCACAAACGAATCGACTATAACGTAAATCAGAACGTCAACTACCACCACAACATTGATGTCTTAGCTTAAATCAACAGTAGCGACATCTGTCAAATGCCGTTTTGTTTCTTTCTCAGATTTGTTTGTCGGAGTAGTATCAGAAGTAAATCGAACTAAGTAAAAGAGACTAGGCGAGAGTTCGTTGCTACATACTTTCGCTTGATTGGTTCTATCGGATCCTTAGGCCAACAAAGCTTATCTCTGAGTGAGTTTGTAGGTTTGAAAACCACCCTAATTCCAACGTAAAGTTTCTGACGTACCTTCCTTATAGAGTAACCCAATGGAGGCTGTGAACTCTTTTCTACTTGTGCCGTTGTTATTAGTCTTACTAGTGTTACTGTTATTTTTCAACAAGTTAATGCAGGAAAAATATCCATCAGAAAATAAACAAGTTACATACTTTCCACTTCAAACAAACATATAATGGAAATTCCCTGCTACAACCTCCTGAGTCATGAATACAGATACAATAGGCCGTTGTCACCGCTCCTTCTGGAGGACGTGGTTGAACTCCTTTATGCCTATTCTTGTGTGAACATAGGAAAACTACAACTAAAGACTGACCCAAGCTGGGCTCGAAAATCAGGACACTTAGGATGCTTTCAATACAGAACTACCTAGACACTTATCGAAATAGGAAAAGGTCACTGGTTCAGAAGAAGCCTGGTTCCATATCAAGTCTGTTATAAAGAAGAGCTTTAAAGACTAACTGACCTTCAGAAAAAGATTAGAAAGAGCCAGTCGATCTCGGGAGCTTCTTTGGAACTACAGGCTGCAAGTGAACACATACATTGGGATTCCAGAAAAAATAAGATGAAGAAGCAACTGAAATGTTGACTGGCAAACTCCACACAATAAGCATAGGCAGTGCTGGACAGTAAACGCTCAAGAGATGGAAAAGATAAGAGCAATAGGTGACAGTTAGTTAGACTTAATAAGTAGACCAGTAAAAAAAGTCATCGGTCAATGAGAAGTTAATGAATAAGGATGGGTCTGCGATTCGTTCTTAGCAGAGACAACTAGAAAAGTGGGTAGAGTACTTCGGCGAAATGTTCAACTGGTCTGTAGCTATTTTTCGGATGTTCACTATCTAGTCGCATTCTGAATAAAACATTGAAATAGGACCTCTAACTCTTGCAGAAGTTAAGAAAGCTGTAAGAAACCTGAAACAATGTACAGCAGTAGGCGCAAATGGATTGACATCACAGTTATTGATGGACAATAGACTAGGATTTTCGGCTGAACTAACTCAAATGTTATTTTTCTTGTGCAACTTCAATATGGCTAGAGATCATTGGTCCAAAGGTATACTTCCAAATTGTGACTCATGGAATTTGAGGGGTTTGTGGGGATTTGAAGATATTTCAAGTTGGTTTTCATCGCAGACTGACATCAGTTGGAGGAACAATGGAAACCTGGAAGCACTGGACAGCTGTTTTGTCCTAGCATGGGACTCTTCAGTAGTCTACACTCATGACCCTTCCAGGGATCGAACGCGCGACCTTCAGGTTCCGTGGCCAGCACGTTACGACTGAACCTGAAGATGGCAGGTTCGGTCCCTGGTAGGGTCGTGGGTATGCACTTCTGAAGAGTCCCATGCTAGGACGAAACGGCTGTCCAGTGCTCCCAGGTTTCCATTGTTCCTCCAACTGATGTCTGTTTACACTGAATACCAACTTGTAAGTCATAGGTTGTAGACCCACTTCACCTAATAACTTTTCGAAAACCAGGAAGCATCACACGCCTTCACATAACTAGTGTATCTTATTACTTAATGCATGCAACTGCACATTCTTGCTGAGTTGCATTATTTTCTATTTATCCATATCTTCAAATGCTCTCAGTCATTGACTGTCCCATCCTCTAAAGAAGGAGAAAAAGTCTCCTGGGATACCCACAAAAGAGTTATTCTGATGAACGTAGTGTCTAGGATTCTCAGCTTTATAACTTTCATGGGTCTTAAAGAAGTTCGGTAATCGCAAACTGGAGGGACCCAGTTGGGTTTCAGGTTTGTTCATGGATATATCAACCAGATCTCTACTACCTGCCAGGTTTTGAAACACGGAAACACTCACAAGCACCCATTACCAGCTGTATTTGTTGAAGTTAAAAAGGCACCCAACTCCATCGCTCCAGTGGTCTTATGCAGTACCTGTCACTGAAGAGTTCTTCGTGTGAGTTAAATCAGCCTGAACACTTCATACTCGAACATCCATGGTCGTGTTTAAGTCCATATTGAGTTGTGTCCTTTTAAGATACCTACTGTTTTCATTCTTATGATTTTGCCACGGATATACTCATAGAAATTTTCCTCTCTGAATTTGGTCCTAAAGAGATTGACCTTGTCATATTAAAC